GCCAGCTGGCAGCTCCTGCGGAGCTTGCTGGAGGGGAACGCCACGCAGGAGGTGCAGCACGAGCTGGAGGCCGGGTGAGGGGCTGGCAGGGATGGGGGTCTGGGAGCAAGGAGGGGGACGGGAGGGCTCCGTAGCCCCTCACCTCTGGTCAGATCCCTGTTACAGGACTCGGTCATGGTGCTTCGGCACCTGCCCAACCAGGAGGTGACTGAGTCCCGTCAAACTCATTGCACCACAGCGTTGCATGTGGAGACCCAGGGCACTCTGTGCTGAGGGTGTTTCAGACCCTTTTCCCTCGGGGTATCCCCCTACATCCATGTCCAGGGCCAGGTCCCAAGCTGTCATATCCATCCCTCCAGGGACCGGAGGGCCCTGGGTGACCATGGTGTTCTGTCCTCGCAGGTACGAGGAAATCCAGCGGGCACGGGAGGAGCTGGGCGCTGGCATGGCAGAGGTGGCAGCGGAGGCCAGGAGAGCTTTCGCAGCCGTGCAGCAGGCAAACACAGACATGGCCGAGAAGCTTCTGCAGGTGGCTGCACTGGGGCAGGTGAGCAGTGTCCAAGCTAAGGCTGCTGCCTGCATCCCTACCCGTTTTACCCGTCGGGCAGCGCTGCCTCCCGGCCTGGGAGATGCTCTCACGGAGCCTTTGGCATCCCTGACCCCGCAGCAGGCGCTGCCGGCGCAGGCTGGAGCCCTGGCACAGGACCTGGCAGCACTGGAGCAGGCAGTGGAGGAGCAGGAGCCGCTGGCTCCCCCCGGCCCGCCGCGGCGCTTCGCACTCTGGCAGCTGGATTGAGCCGGGAGCTGCAGAGGACTCGTGGCTTTGAGCAGGTAATTCCTGCTTATGCGCATGGGGTGTCCGTGCAAAATAAGTGATGGGGATGCCCTGTTCCAGCCAGACATGTGGGCATACCAGGTGCATCCATTTCCTGCTTCCCACCCGTGGCACAAGGGGGTGGGTAAGCCCCATCCCTGCTGCTCCAGGGACCCAGGGGACCATGGCTGCAGGCAGGGAGCTGGGAGCAGATGGTTTGGGAGACATCTCCCCTTGGGGTCCCAAATCTGCCAAGGAGTTCACCCACCAAGCAGGAGTGGGCTGGGTCCCATGTTTCCCAGCAGGGTGCAGCTCTTTGATCCCTCCTTGGCCTCACTCCTTCTCTCCTCTCCCCAGCTGCGGGACCGGGCTGGCTCTGCCCATGGCACGACCACCTTGGCTGTCTCACGTGGAAAAGCTGTGCTCTCTGACGCAGAGTCTCTCCTGGCCAGTTTGGAAGGTAAGATGCACTGGCCAGAACATTTCCAGCCACGGCTTGGCTACCATCACGCTGGCTCTGGATGCCAAGGGGAGAAAGAGCCAGCTTAGTGATGGCTGGGTTGTCCCTGCAGGCATGAGGAAAGTGCTGGGGCACCGGAAGGGCCAGGCTGCCCTGAGCAGGAGGATGACACTTGTGCGGGACAGGGCGATGGTGGAGGCCCAGAGGAAGATTAAACAGGCAGAGAAGACGCTGGGAAACTCCTTGTCTGTCTCCACTGCAGCCCAGAGGACAGCTGGGGAGGCTGAGCAAGCCTCTGGGGAGAGTGCCAAGGTCTGAGTGGAGGGATGTGGGGTGCGGGGAGCCCGTGCCAGGCAGTGGGGCACGGCCAGGCTGGCAGCCATCCCAGGCAGAGCCCAGCCGGTGGCAGGCAGGGCCGCAGAGGTCCCAAATACAGCTGCTTCTGCCTCTCCAGCAAGCCCACCCTTGTCCATGTTCAGACCCAGGGGATGCACCCGACTGGGGCTCCAGACTAGCAGCCAGCCGCAGTCCCCCTGCGTGTCCCCAGGTGACTGTCCCCATCTCCATCCCTTTGCAGAGGGCACGGGCTGTGCTGCAGGAGAGCAAGCAGGCCCGCAAGCATGCCAGCCAGCTCGCCACGCGTGCCAACGAGACCCAGCGGGAGCTCTCCCGGCAGGAACGTGTGGCTGAGAAGCTTAGGGGGGAACTGGAAGAAGCACACCAGGTGAGTCGGGTCGCCTCGGGCAGGTTGTGTGTTCCACAGCCTGGAATGGGCTTTTCCCACAACCCAACGCATAGGGAGCAACCCAGCTTTTGGGCTCCACTGTATGGAGAATACCTTGGGGATGTTCCTGGGATCCCCTCCCCTCTCCCATCCAGCCAACGGTCAATGGTGTCCCTGATCTGGGTGTCTGTCTGTGTTGGAAGGTGGGGACAGAGGTGAGTGAGATGGCCAAAAGTCTCCAGGAAGCCCGGGGCTCGCTCATGTCAGACATCGAGACCCTGAACGACCTGCTGAGCAGTCTAGGTGAGATCCGAGTGGGGTGCATGCTCCTGGGGATCAGGGCCCGGGGCTCTCCTGCGCGCTGGTGCTGGGTCTCCTGCTCGCTGGCCATCGAGGCTGAGCACGGTGCCCTTCGGCTGAGATTGCTCAGGGTCTTAGCAAAGCGTCGTGAGGGCTCATGTCTCGATGACAGCCCTCATGCAGAATGAATTGGGACTTGCTGAGCCTGTCTGCTCATGCCTGGTGTGGGGACGCTGGTCTCCCTTGGCATCTCCCGCAGGAGCTGGGCTGGGTCAAGGGCTCGGTCCCTTTGGAGCCGAGGGAGGTGCTGGGATGGGTTCGCTCCTTGTTGCTGGTTGGTTTTGCTCCAGCTCCTCCTGCTTTGATCATCTGCGTACATTTCTGAGCACTCCAGGACTCCTGTGTCCAAGAAGTTTTGCAAAGAGGTGGAAATCATCACCCATCTGTAAGAGAGAGACGTGCCCAGGCCCTCCCTGGAGCCACAGTCCTATTTGCTTATCTGTGATCGCTGGGAAGCTGCAATGCCTCCATGCCCCACTGCACCCGCTCCCTCCTGTTTGCCTGGTGCCGAGGGTCTGAGCCCCTGGAGCATGCCCAGGGCCCCCCTGCCCTGCTCTCTGCTTCTCATCCCTGCGGCTTCGGCTGGCGGTTCCGGGTGCCCTGGCCGGCCAGCTCAGCCTGCTGCGGGACGAGGCCGCGCGGCAGCGGGAGAAGATCCAGGCGTTCGAGAGCGACTTGGCCGAGATCCGGGCCGACAGGCAGAACCTGGAGGACATTTTGCGGAGCCTTCCCGAGGGCTGCTCGAAGTGGCAGTGACGGGTCCCTGGCCACTGCCCCATCACCTCCGTGTCCCCCTGCACAGGGAACAGCAGAGCAAGGGACACCCTGCATTCACCAGCATCGATCCCCCCCTGCTGCTCTTCACGCTGCCCACCATACAATATCGCACCCTGGGTCCTTATCCGCACCAGTTCAGGCTCAGCGTCCTGCGCACTCTGCAGCTTGGCTTCAGCCACCAGCTCCATCCTCGGGGCAGGGGACAACCAGCCACCAGAGACTATCGACATTTCTGTGCAGGAGACGAACCCATCACAGCACTGGTCTCTCACCATGGAGTGAATGAAGAACCATCACCACCAGGGAGGGACAGTAAAGTACCGAAGCTGTAATGCCCGGCGGTCCCCGCTGCCCCAGGAGATGAGAGAGGCTGTGCACACGTGCTGGAAGCTGGTCCCGCTGCACAGCACCCTGCAGAGTGATGCTCGTGTGCTGCGGTCACAGAGACGCAGAGATGAATCGTGGTGAAGCCAGGCAGAGAGCTGCTTACTGGAGGGCACGCAGCTTGTCTGCTTCCCAGGAGGGGAAGGGAGATTGCAGCAGGGCAGGCTAAATTGGGGCCAAGCAGAAGCAGAGCAGACTCTTAAGCAGCTCCCAGCAGGCAGGTGGGGCATCCTCTGCGTGCTGCAGGGTGAGAGCCCCTGTGCTGTTGCTGTTCCCCTGCTCCAGGGTAGTGCAAGGTTGCTGCTGCCCACAGCTCTGGTCTTTGCGCCCTGTCCCAGCTCCGCTCGGCTCACTGGGTGTCACCAAGTCTGGCTATAAACAAACCCAGCCCAATTGCCAGCAGTCCCAGGGGCTGGGTGGCATAGCAACGCAGCGCGGCAGGGAGGTGGGAGAGCTGCATCACCCCACAGCCTCGCATCAGCACCCACACACCCCCCCACCGGAGAGGCCTCGAGCCGGCTGCGCCGCCAGTGGGAGCAGCTGGACACGGCCAGCTCCTGCCAGCGTCACTCCCACTGGGTGGCAGAGGTCGGTGGCTATATCGCCTTTAAAGGAAAGGCATGTGCCTTCACCCCCTGCCCCCATGCGGGCTGCTCCGTGGGGCCACGCAGGCAGCAGAGCCAGGTCCTTGCTCAGCCCACCCTGTGCTGGCTGTGCCGTGACTCCAGGTAAAGTTGAAGTCACTCCTGTAAGACCAGAAACGAGTCCCCAGGCTGGAGCCCAGTTCACTTTTTAACCTGTTTTACCTGTGTTTTTCCAGTCACAGTGCTGGAAATCAGGTTTGCTGAAGTCTTTTGTAACACTGTATGTAAAACTGCTACCATAGACATTTGATTCCCCCAGCGTCACCTCCAGTGTGTCCAGTGGTCTGGAAGCGACACAGGATTTTCCCACTGTGAACAAACCCATCTCCCTCCTAATTCTGCACAAAAGCTGCCCAAGGTGCGGGGTGCCAGAGCTGCGGGGCTGCAGGAGCCTAATGGCAGGAGCTCGCTGCCCAAGGAGAGCTCTGCAAAAGCAAGACCATGTAGCAGCGAGAGCTTGGCCGAGAGGCAGGGAGCCACAGGCCCTTACCGCCTC